AATTAAAATATAAAGGATTCAAGTAAATACTGTTGCTATTTTTATTCCACTAGTTTTTCTTCAAACTTAAGCAGTCAAACTGTACCTTGCACCCTAACACAAAGAATTAGGGATCAATCTGTGAGCATTTACTAAACATATGGAGGCTAACTGCTGCTTATCTTTTCTCTAGGTTTAAAGTCACAATGCCTGCCAGGAAGCATATTCTGTCCCACTCTACCATCACTGCTGAGAAAGTCAACATTATTGTCACCAAGGGGAATAATAATAATGGTTGTTGCTTTTATAGAGTCAGTCTTTTATGGCTCAATCTTCATCACAAGCCTATGAGACAGGTATAATTATCTTCACTTCATAGTTGAGGCGACTGAGGCCAGAGAGGTAATATGCCCAGATTACACAGCTATTAAGTAGGCCACCCTTCAAAATGTGCTAGATTCAAAAATTCATCTTGGTGGAGCACAGGTGGCTCACACCTGTAATCCTAGCATTTTGGGGAAGGATTACTTGAGGCCAGGAATTTGAGACCAACCTGGGCAAGAGCAAGACTCTACCTCTTAAAAAATAGAAAAATTAGCTGGGTATGGTCCCAGCTACTCCGGAGGCTTGAGGCAGGAGGATTGCTTGAGCCCAGGAGTTGGAGGTTGCAGTGGCGAGATATGATGATGCCACTGCACTCTAGCGGGGGTGACAAAGCAAGACCTTGTCTTAAAAAAAAAAAAAAAAAAAACCAAAAAACGAAACTCATCTAGACATATCACCCTGTAAAATATGAAGAAAAAACAAATTCATTATTCTGACTTTATCATGTGACAGTAGGTGTGGCATGTTTTTATACATTTCTGTTCAGAAAAAGGGCTTCCTCTACAGTGAGCATCTTGCTTTTCAAACAGTTCTCTGCCACCTACTGAAACAATTCCTCCTCTCTTAAATAATTATGACCCTCCCTCTTCTGGTCCTTTGGATACTTTGGGAAGGAGAAAAACAAAATATACATACACTTTAGTTTGCCATGTAAATTTTAAAAACTCTTCTCCATACAGACAATTTGGGGAGACGTATAAAAAAATTCTCTAGGTAAAATGTCACATATAAAGCTTCTAATCATTTACTGGTTGATAAAGATACAAATTATTTATTAAATCAAATCAAGAGATACATAGTGTGTCTGTAAGACAATAAGTGTTATGTGCTCTATATTCTATGTGGTTTGTTACTTCTCATTAATCAGCAACGAAGGCAAACAGCAACTTACGTGTTCTATTAGCTGTATGGCCCCCAATTACAGTAAACTAGTCTTACTCTTCTTTGAGTCGCAACACCTAAAGGGATAGCAGGTGCGCAAAATCTCTGAATAAGTAACTATTACTGTCGTTTTGGATACACGTTAAGCTAAGAAAATCTCAAGCAAACCATACCAAATAACAGCAGGACTATTTAGCACAATAAACATTTTTTAACACATTTAAAACAGATATCACTTAAGGTTAACTCAGAGAACTGCAAAGTCAGAAGGAAAAGAAAAAGCTACGTTCTGCAGGAAATGCTTCTCGCAACTAACCCTCACAGCTCTGTGAAGTGTGTCTATGACGATCGCTATTTCACAGAGTAAACTGAGAGTTAGGAAGATTAACTGGCCCAAAGTCACAAAGCTTTAAGTGGACGCGCCCGATTGTCACCCAGATCAGTAAAATTCCGAGGACTGTGCGCTTAACCCTTCACTCTGTAATTTCGCTCACATTTCGGAAGCCAGACGTTTTTCAATTGGCTAGGATAACAGCGGCCCAACGCCTCTATACTCCCTCCCATCCCGAGGCTCCCACTTAAGGGCTTCCCCGCGGTCCGTTTCCGGCCAGGGTGCACGAGCGCAGGAAGACCCGGCTGGGGTGAATCCATTGGCCCCCACCCGCTACGACCAGCAAAGGGTGTCAGAAAGAAGGATAACCAGCGAGACAAAGAGGCAGGGGCGATATCACTGCTATCACTTGAGCATCTCTCACGAACGTTCCCAGCGCACTTACACAACTCGATCCAAAGCGTCCATCGCTAGCGCTGTCCGCAAACTCAACCAGGAGAATGCACGTGCACTCCGCGGTTACGCGTATTGGCCCGGGCGCCAGAACAGGAGGAACCGACGGAACCGGAAGCTGCATGTGACGCTATTTCCGGGGACGCCCGCGCCGCAGACACCAAGAGGCGCTGGCGGCCATTGTGGGTGGGATTATGCCTTGTTCCCTTAGTTACGGGTTCTCTTCCGGAAATTAAAGGTGTGAGGTGACACTCTAAGTAACGTCGTCTCTCACACCTTGGTGTACACTCCTCCATTTATACCTGGTATTCAGGGACCAGCTGGTATTCTTCAGGGAATCCCCTAAGATGCTAGAAAGGTTGGTAAGCACGGTAGGCACTCACGTAGTCACTAAAAATATTACTGTGATATGGGCACTGTTGACTGAACGGTTACATTAGTGAGGCAGAGTTTATGACTACCACAGTTGCCTAGTACATAAAAGATGCGCAGAAAATAATACTGTTGATCGTAGTTTTCCACCCAACTTTTAAAGTGCCATATAATTCACATACCATAAAATTCACCCCTTTAAAATGTACAATTCAGTGGGTTTTGGTACATTAGCAAAGATGCGCAAACATCACCACTATCGAATTCCAAAATTCCTTTTTATTTTTTTATTGGGACAGAGTCTGCCTCTGTTGCCCAGGCTTAAGTGCAGTGACCTCATAGCTCAAGGCAACCACAAGCTCCTGGGCTCAAGCAATCCTACTGCCTCAGCCTTCTGAATTCCTGGAACTACAGGCACACACCCCCAGGCCCAGCTAATTTTTCTATTTTTTGTAGAGATGGGAGTCTCCTTATGTTGCCCACGCTGGTCTCAAACTCTTGGACTCAAATGATCCTCCTACCTCAGCATCCCACAGTGCTAGGATCACAGGTATGAGCCACCATGTGCAGCCGTGGGTCATTTTTAATCATAAACAATACTGCCTAGTATCACAGCTGACATTCCATTATTATCTTGCCTAGTAGGTTTCCAGAGAAATACTGCTCAAAGGGAAACTCAGGGTTATTTCACCAGGGAGAAAGAGAAGAGAAAGGGGTTTTTTGGTTAACTCTTTACTCATAGTAGTCCAGGGCAATCTCACAGTATTGGCACCCAATCTTCATTCCTGTCACTCTGTCATTCCTGGCTTCTATTTCCAAGGTTATTTTATTTATTTATTTATTTATTTATTTTTTTGAGATAGAGCCTCACTCTGTTGCCCAGGTTGGAGCAATCACAGCTCACTGCAACCTCCAACTCCTGGGCTCCAGTGATTCTCCTAGTTCAGCT